AGCCATTATAGCTTTTAGAATTCAAAAAGGATGTGGAAAAAAAGCATTTTATAATCTGAATAGACAGGGTTGAAACTAACATCAAGAGCAAGTTTGGTATGCAAATGACATATTCAGAAAGAATTCTTTTATAATCTGAGTGCAGATAGACAAAATATTATATTATCAAGTGTTTTTTTGCAGATTAAAGCTCAAGATAAAAGCCGCTTATAGAGTAAAGGTAATTTGATATGAACACATACATTTGAATGTATACTGAAACTAATTTCTATTACGGATGGGGAAAATTCTCGAAGAATTTATTGTAGATACAGTTGTCAGTGTCGATGTTAAAGATTGTCATTGAGGCTCTTTGTGTGTGTGTCTTTCAGATACAGAGACAAGTGAAAAAATACAAGGAAGCGGAATACTTCAGCTCTTTGCAAGTCTGTTGACTCCGCAGTCTTCCTGCACAGCCAAAGTAGCCAACATCATAGCAGAAGTAGCCAAAAATGGTGAGGTTTTCCTCAAGAATTTTTCTGCTGGGAACATCTTCAGTTTTACACCTTACTTGTCAGTATGTTTTATTAATTTGTGTTTTAATTTTTTAGATTAGACATTTTTATTTGTTTTTCTTTGGCTTTTTTGATGTAATTATCTTAAATGGTTATAGTTACAGTCATTCTGTTTGTACATTTCTCACTTGCTATTCCGTTCCCTCAGAGTAAAGTCAGGGCAGGCGCTGCTAGTCCCAGCTACACCTTTGTCACTTACTACTTTGGGTGTAGGATTCTCGAGCTTGCCATTGAGTCATTCGTCTTCATTGTCACAGGAAAGCATACTTTTTTTTCATAAGACCAAAGAACACAGAGTGTACCTTTCTTAATGTTTATGTTTGTTTGTGTTATACCCAGATATACTCACTATTCTTTTTTTTGGTCTTAACCTTCCATCCTGACATCGGCAGTTGACTTCAGCAGTGTAGTTGGAATATGTTCTGTCTTCTGTACTCACCTTCATGGAAAATATATTTATTAAATTGCCTTGTAAGAATATTCTGGAAAAACAACGATAACAAGCTTACCTTATGTAATACTTAATCCACGTCATTGTTTATATAGTGAGAGATCCTTTAGAGAAATTATAGCAAAAATATTTGCACATGATTTTAATTCAGTCAGATTGAGAAAAACACTGAGTTCCTAAAGGACTTTTTAAGCATAAAGGAAGGCCATACTAAATATAATAACTTTAGTGTGCTTCAATTTTCAAAGTTTGGTATTTTTAGTTCTTTTATTTTACAATGTTGCGTATATTATACTTTAAAGAAAAGAAATTAAATTCTGGCTTCATTTGTATAATCACCATAGCAGGTGGCTGTGTGTAAAGTACCAGTCAGTATATGTTGGTTTTGGCCTATAAACCAATGTGTTCTTAAGTATGTTACCAAAAAGAAAATTGCTGTGAAACTTTGCCATTTCTTAGAAGTTCTCAAAATGCCTTTGAAGTTCCAATTAAGTTCTATATTGGTAAACTATTTTTACAATGTTGACTGAAAATTGGCCACCTCTTGCTTGTACGCCACATCCAGGAAGCAGATCTAGTTTGAAAATGGATCCTTTTCAGACATTGTTACCCCCCTAGATCAACCCCATATGAATCTTAGTAGATACAAACAAAGCAGCTTGGTTTTTAAGATCAAATAGTTTTTTTTTTCTTTTTTTTTTT